ATTTTATTTTTTATTTATCTCCGCCGCTACCTCTTACAAAGGCACCAGCAGCACAAGCGCAGCAGCAGCAGGGGCCCCTCGGGGGGCCCCTGCTGCTCATCAACAGCAGCAAAACCCTCTGCTTACAGACCCTCTAAACCCTAAACCCTAAACCCTAAACCCTGAAAGATAATTAGTACTTTTGCTTATTCTCTCGGGCTGGTGAGCTGTGTCTAGGGTTTAGGGTTTTGTCTTTCTTTTCATCGAAGCTGATTTGTATTAGCAGGGTTTAGGGTTTAGGGTTTAGGGTTTAGGGTTTGCGTTAACTCTACAGAAGCAGTTTATGTTGCCACAAGCTGCTGCTGTTTGTCTCTCCATCATTGTTGCTGCTGCTGCAGTGGTTTGTTGTTTTGCTGCTAGTGCTGCTGCTCTGTCTGCTGCTGCTGTTTATACACCAACGGAGGCTTGCAGCTATTTTTTTATTTATTTTTATTTTATATTATTATTTTGTTAGTAAAGTAATTAAACAACTAACCCTAGATAGACCCAAAGACGCATGCATGCAACAGCAACAGCAGCAGCAGCAGCAGCAACAGCAGCAGCAGCAGCAGCAGCAGCAACAGCAGCAGCAGCAACAGCAGCAGCAGCAACAGCAGCAATAGCACTATCTGTTCCCTCTCGTGCATGCAGCCCACTGCCAATCACCTGCAGCAGTGCATACACCTCAGCTACCCCCACCACCTATAAATAAATAAAGTATATAAATAAACAATAAATAAATAAATAAATAATAAATAAATAAATAAATACCGAAACTAATTATTTATATATTAAACATTGCCATCAATAAATAAACTGGTTTTCATATTTTTATTATACACTACCCCCTCCAAACACATTTTGTTAGTCATTCGTTTGCTGCTGCAGCTGCTGCAGCTGCTGCAGCTGCTGCAGCTTCTGCTGCTGCTGCAGTGCAAAGCATTCGTCAACAAAAGAGTCTGCTGCAGCTGCTGCAGCAGCTGCAGTTGTTGCAGCTACTGCAGCTGCTGCAGTTGCTTTCACTGCTGCTGCTGCTTGCGCTGCTGTTGCGGCTGCAGCAGCTGCTGCTTGAGTTGCTGCTGCATCCTTTGCTGCTGCAGCAGCAGCAGCAGCAGCAGCAGCAGCTGCTGCTGCTGCTGCTGCTGCTCAGTCTACGAGAGAGTCTGGCGAGCGCTTAACGAGAAGGTAAACCCTCATATCTAAC